AGAATTGCAAATAATTATGTATATTCAAGTCAACGAGTTCGTGAATAATTTGTTACATCATAGGTGACTTAGTTTTCTTCGCGTTTCAAGGGATTTGAGGCCAATTCGAGGCCAACGCGCTTTTATTATTTTTTTTTTNGAGTAGGCAAACAAGAGTAAACAATTTGTGGTGTAGGCTTTGAGTAAACGGCATGTTTTTGTCACTCATCCTACAGTCTAGCACGAAAACAAGGCTGAAGCTAGGCTGAATCACCATTTACTTCACATTTCTTTGCTAAAAATCGTTCAAAAATAGTACCTGACCCACTGTTTAATATAAGAAAGGAGTTTTTTAGGAGTCAAAAATGTCACGTGACACGCATCACTGGCATGAGAACGAACACTAAAGAAACATCGCGTTTTTGCTTTTTACCTCTATTAAGTTGGTAAAGCCGGTGAGGCATCACACTTACTGTTAAAATAAATAAAAAAATACATATTATTGACTAGGTTAGTTTGAATTGTTTAAAAATGTAGTCGCTTTCTCCTTGAACACAGCTAGCGATGGAGACAACATGACCTCTGCTGGGAGCTGATTTCACTCCCTAGAGGACCTCGGGAAAAAGGAACATTTAAGGGCGTTCTTAGAGCTAAAGGGCATCTGGAATTTATACGCATGACTGTTACGTGTTCGTGTTTCCTGGGAGAATTGCAAATAATTATGTATATTCAAGTCAACGAGTTCGTGAATAATTTGTTACATCATAGGTGACTTAGTTTTCTTCGCGTTTCAAGGGATTTGAGGCCAATTCGAGGCCAACGCGCTTTTATTATTTTTTTTTTCAAGAACAATTTTGTTATCAATGGTTTTGAAAGCCTGTCTTTTCTACATTTCCATCTGTCATCTCCCAACCATATCCATCTGGTAGAAGGAGATCTTGCATAACGTCAACGGCATGTCACCATACATAGGCCTGTTAGTTGGCACACTTCATCTGCTGTTGCAGACTGTCAGACTTTGATGGAAGAACTTCTTTTCTTTTTCTCTTTCATTTGGCAAAACATGAAGTATCTCAGCTCTGCGTTTTTTGGTGTTCGCTTTGAGGAGACGTAGAGGTCGCATTTTGTGGCTTCTAGCCTGCGTACGCAGAAGTATTTCCGGTCGTCCCTTCTCTACACCCGAAAATAACGAGAAAAGCGGCGATCGGAAATGCGTCTTTATCCGTAGGCTGGGTGGACTAGGTAGCTGTCGTCTCGTCTAGATCTTGTTATTTGATTCTTGTTATAAGAAGAGCGTCCCACCTTTTTTGGCCCAGTGCTTGGGATACTTCATGTATAGGAATAACTCGTAGCCGATCAGTTTCACACCAAAGCGAAGCCATAGTTCCATAGTTCCTCGCAGCCAAGACGATCAAAATGAACTGCACTCAATAAAAACACTTTTGTGTCGGGGGAATGCAAGATGATTTTTGTTTCTACAGTTGCTGCATACTTAGCATAAAACAGCAATCTTGTGTCTGCTTCCTCCTTGTTCTACTTAAGGCATGCAATATCATAGAGGCGTCCTCTAGTGGAGCTTACACATCTTGCTCCGTCTTTACGCCCTTCTCCAATGGGGGTGATGAATGGTCCATGAAAATTTTTAACTGCTCGCAAATTTTACCTTTGCTCGATTTGCTCTCAAAATTTAAACGAGTGCTCGCTTGCTCGTGCTCCCCAAATTTTTGCAGCTGCTCGTAAGCTCGCTTTCTTGTCAGTATTGCTCGAAGTTTTGTAAATCCTTCTTTGGGTTAACGTAGATGTAATTCTGTATGGTGCTTAATTCCTATAAATATGGCTATCAAGTTCAGTGGAAATGCGCGCGATAAATGACAACGATAAATAATAAATTAGCTAATTTAGCTATATATGGTTATACATGGTTGTTATATATGGTTGTTCTTGTGACCTTTGCTTTCTGATCCGTACGAACACGTGCGTGATGAAGTGAAGCAAAAATGTGACGTCATCTGGCACCAAACGCCACTGTAATTGGTTAGATCTCGATAAGGTGTCACTCAAACTAGCTTCAAAGAACTTGGTGCGCTCTAAATTAAAACCCCGTTTTAAAATATTTTCTGTTTTATTTTAAAGAAAAGGATTTCCATATGGACTGCTGCAATCGGAAAATATAAGAAGTGCTCGCTGCTCGCGAGTTGTACTCTTTAAACTGCTCGCTGCTCGCAAAGCAATTTTATTATCTCTGCTCGTGCTCGCAAAAAAATCGCAGTGCTCGGCATGTTCGCGAATGCTCGTAAAGACCATTCGTCACCCCTTCCAATGATCAGTAATTTATTCTCTGCTAGCTCTTTTTTCGCAAGTTTGCACAATAACTTTGTCAAGAAGTCGCGGAGGTTTGCTTTCTTCTGAAGGCTGGAGATGTATTTTACCCACTGCTTAGGTTTATTCGGAATTTTATGGGTGAGTGTTGTTGCATTCACCTTCTTGGGAATTGTACTAAAATGTGTTTACCTTTATGCCCGGAACGGGGTCCCAAAAACTTACAGCGTTGGTGTTCATACGCTTCTCAACCAAATTTTTCATCTGTAAGTCTCGACCTAATATACTCCTGGCCCCAGTTGTTCAAAAGTTGGATAGTGCTATCCACCAGATATAATAATGAGCAGTGGGCCAGTTACTATTTGTAAAGATTGTTATCAAAGATTTACGAAATAAATGGTGGTTCAGCCTTCAACTTCGTTTTCATGTTTGACTGAAGGGTGCGTAACTAAAACATGCAGTTTACTCAAAGCCTATACCACAGACTGACCTTGCAAATTATAAGGCATTAATCAGGTCTTGGTCTTGTTCTACCAAGCTCCGACATTAAACGTTTTCTTACCCGTGGCCGGTTAAGCGAAACGACACTTCTGCGACCTCGGCTACCGCACTAGGAGGCCCCCAGGTCAAGTCCCGCTCTGACTGCCAGCTGGGTTTGTTCAGGGCAGTCCCGAGTTCAAATCCTCGACCACGCTTGTAAATAGCCAAGTGGATTGCCTCCGGCCAGTTTGGACTTTTAACCATGTTATGTTTGCTTTGAATTATTTGTTTCAGTCATTTGCTCGGCCCCACGAGCATTAGTGCTATAAACACTGCCAAGGGTAAATAAAGGAATTATTATTATTATTATTATTATTATTGTGGAATCTCAGGGTTAAAAGGTTTACGTTGCCTGGTAAATTACCCTTGGGAGCAAGCAACAACAAATTCTTAGAGCACCCAAAGGAGTCCTTACATTTAAGACCCTAAATAGCCAAAACTTTCCGTAATAGTCCAGCTGTTCCCAACAGAGCCGCTCTCTCAATCACTTCAACTCTGATGGCAACGTTAAGTTTCTCAAACATATCGGATACAGCTCCCAATGCCTCAGTCACAATTGGCACAACCTTCACTTCACCTTCCACAAGTTTCCTATTTCTTTTTTCAAGAAACTGGGACTTCTCCAGGCCCCGGTTTTTCAAACATTGGATAGCACTATCCAGCGGAGAAGTATTAGGGAAACCAATTGCGTTTTCCGCTGGATAGATTTTTATCTGGTGAATAGCGCTATCCAACGTTTGAACAACCGGGGGCAGTTCTTTGTCTTTTACTCGTGCATCTCCATAGCCTCCCACACGATCTCCCCTAAAATCGCCTGCGTGGGAGGCTAGCATCTCCACGGATAGCGATGTCTATGATCTTAGCCTCCTTTGCCCGCTTATCAACGAAGATGATTTCCGGCCTTCTACATCCGATAACACTATACATTCAAATCCCATAGAACTTTAAAACCTGTATTTCCTACCATTTGCTCTGGGGTATGTTTGTATCACTGATCTACCCGTTCCAGTTCTGCCCACACAGTTGCCAATACACATACCGCGCCACATTGCTATGTCGCCTCCTGTACTCACGTTGGGCAAACTTGCTGCACTCACTCGTTAGGTGACTTACATTTTTTTCCTTCTCTCCGCACATCCTTCACATAGGTGATTCTGATGCAGAGCTTAAAAAACCGTGTTCTGAGCTGCGTTTCACCCGCGCCATCATATTCAAACCACCATGAAGAACCAGTGAGTTAGGTCGAATCAAGGTGCAACATTCTTGTCGCCATGAACGCCATGTTCTTGTGAGTGTCAGTGATTTTCGTTCCGTTTTTACAAGCACACAAAACATAAATGCGAAAAAACAGTTTAAAGAGAGATTTCAAAGTAATTGAACCGTTTCCTTCCTGTCTAACAATAGGCCCCGTCCAAAACGTATATGTTTTGACCTTATATGTACCACGAATATTTCACCAGTTCGCTCTGGATTGGCGTTCTTCCACACTTATTTGATGAAAACGGTCACCGGAAACTCGACACTTCGAGCATACTCTCCATGGTGGAAATTTACAAAAGTTTCAGGAGGTTCAGCGTTTTTGTGTATGAAAAGCTACATTTTGGAATATAACAATGACTCCAAATTTGGACTTGACTTTCAACGAGTCTTAAATTGCACCCCCAATGAATGGCAACGATCCATAACCTATCAAACTGTGTTCAGCCATCTCGTGAGGCCGTGTTTGCGCGTGAGGGAGGCTAAAAAAGTAGCGTTCGTATGTGTTTCTGCTTAGGAGAGGTGTTGAGTGGATAACAATCTATCTGCACAATCGCATACTGGTATTTCAAAATTTTTATTTTTTTAAAACGATGGATGGCAATGTCTTGATAATAGAGAGGAGAAGTCGTCACGTGGCGTTGCCATGGTAGCAAAATTTCTGGATCTCAACAAACCATGGTCTTGCAAATATCGCATTAGAAAAAAGAAAAACTTGACATGCACGACTTTCCTGTGTATGATTTCACTCAGGAACAAAACGGTAGCCTACACTTTTCTTCCCTCGTTCGACACTGCAAATGGCAGTCTCTGTCAAAAAAGTGTTCAGTTCCAGAAATTTTGCTACCATGGTTACGTGGCGTCCTCTCTGTAATAAGTAGTTTGCAAAATTACTATTTCCAAAGTCAACACGGTGCTGAACTAGTGGAAGACCGACGCACGCTACATGTCACGTTACCAGGTGTGAATTGTACACCATTTAAGTTATCCAGTTTTATCGTGATGGACTGGACACTCTCGGTTATTTTACTGACATCAGCAATGTTTAAAATTGATGAAGCCTGTTGCGAGGTTGTTCTCCCAATCAACCCCTCACTGTCAAGTTTCTCAATGTTGTTTAATTTTACCGAAACAGGAGAAGGACTTGTGGAAATAAGTTTGTCATTCAGGCAAATTTTAGGAAGCTTGTTTTTCTCGGGGTGGCCATTTTCCAAGATGGATTCATCCATCTGTGAAGTTAATGTGGTTATGTTCCTGTTTCAGTGAAAACTCACTGGAAAATTCGTGGTTATTATTTGAATTCAATTGATTCTCACTTCTTGCGGGTGTAGTTTGACGACTTTGTCGCATATTTCGCTGCATTTCCTCTGTGTTGAAAGTAAACGATACTGGTTTGAAATCATTTGTTGAAGTATTTCCAACGTTGATTAATATCTGCGATGTTTTTCTCACCGCACGCTGAGAAGAAGACTCAGAAGATGGACTGGCTCCGCAAACCGTGTTTGCCCTCGGTCTTTGGTTATTTGAAAACACTTGTTTTGTTGAATTGCACTCGGATGTGGAAATATCATTTTCATTGGCATTATCTGTACAGTTATCATCTTTATCCGAGTATTCATTATGATATTCATCCTCTGAATCACTTTCATTTTCGTACTTATTTTCCTCCTTTTGTGACAAGTCTTTTCCCATCGCCTTGTCTGCCTTTGCTTGTAAAGCTTGTATAGTTGCTAAGATCAAAACAAGAGTTGCGAGTATCTCCACGTCGACGCTCCGAGATATGTAATGTCGAGGGATCTAGCAGAGCTGACACCTTTCTGTCTACAGTTTGATCTTCCTCGCTTTCTGAGGTTGTTTTTTATATAGATGGATCCATTGCACGTCTTCTCTTTGAGGTAGAAAGAGGCGACAGGGACATGCGACGAACGGCCGAAAGAGCATGTACAGATTTCTGAAAAGGAAGGTTATCATAGAGCGATACCAGCAGTACCGTACAGACCATAATAACCAAAAATATCCCGAGTTACCTGGCTAAATCAGGTTGACTCGTGGAGTAGTAATGCCACAACTAACGTTACTCTCTATTTTACCTTGACTTCGATGATGAACTCCGCAGAATTCATGAAAAGGACGATCAATAGCCTGCAAATACAACAATCTCTCCTCACACTTTGCCACTTTCGCCCTCGAGAGAAGGAACCTCTACGGTTCAAGGACAAAAATTCCATACTGGGCCCAGTTGTTCGAACGCCGGTTAGCGCTAACCCGGGGTTAAATTTTAACCCGGGTTTCTTTTTCCTTTTATTAAAAGCACTCTCTCGGATAATTTTCTTTATTCTTTTTAGAGTATCCATCATCAAACTGTAGGCAAAGAGAATTAAACTTAATTTGCATTTTAAGCTCTTACCCCTGGTTATCTTAACCCAGCTTCGAACAACCCGGCCCAGATGGCGTAAAATCGGTTCAAAATCTTGTCACGAGCTCTGATTGATCGACATAGAAATTGTATTCTTCTTCTCTTCACGAAGGACAGACAAAGAAAATACAGCAATTTGAACTTCCGATATTTCACAGTGCGTGACACCAAAATAGGAATCCCGGGGAGGGGACTCCCATATGAAACAGACGGGGATGCTCGTCGGAAATTTTGAATTTAACCCCTAAAGGAGACCATCTGGGCGTGGCTCAAGCTTTTTGTGACCCCTAAAGAAGACCAATCTGGGCGTGGCTTAAGCAAATTTTGACCCCTAAAAGAGACCGCTTAAAAACACACAAATACGACATGCAATGAGTTTTAATAATATAAAGGCATAATCATCGAATGCTTTTATCTAAAAGTAGTTTTTAAAAGCATTGTCATAAATCTCATGCAAGTTCTTCGCGGAACCCTAAACGAGAACTTAGCGGCTTAAAATATTGGCGCTTTGCCCGGAACACCCTAAGCGAGACTAAAATCCAAAATTTACACCCCTAAGCGAGACGACGAGCATCCCCGTCTGTTTCATATGGGAGTCCCCCGCCGGGATAGGAATGCTGTCTCGTTAAAAAAAACAAGTGTTTCCTCTTGATTTTCAGCAGCATAACCATTTCAAGTATTAGAAGATGAGTTTATGTGCACGTATGCTAGTAGTTCTCGAGTAAAAAGGAAGAATTTTTATAGAAAAAGTGAACTCCAGATGTTTTTGTTGATTTCCGGCGGCCATAGTGGTGTACGAAAAACGGTACACCAATATGGCGTCTCCGTGCAAAGCTCTACATTTTAAGGTGCGTGAAACGTTTCGGCAAATAACTCAGAAACTGTGGGCCACAAAGACCTGAAACTTGGACAAATTGTTTATACATTAGTCTTTTATAACATTTTATTTTCTTTGCCTCCTCCACTGGACGGTTTCCAATTTAATTTTTTGTTGCGTGACAGTGAAAACGAGCTATAAAAGTTCAGAAACTTGTTCCCAGATTCTTCGCTACTGTTCTTTTCACTGGGGCTCCAATAAAAATGGCGTCAACCCAAACAAAGGTGTTGCTATCCACCAGCTGATTACTGATTTCAGGCGATAATGGAGATAATAACCGAAAGGAAGTCGCAGTGGAGTAACTGATAACTGAAATGTAAGTATTCCTCATAGGAAAATTACCGGAAGAAGGAGATACTATTGCACTTTTGGTTCTGAAGCCGCTTAACGATTCGGCTTGGATGCCCGGGCCTGGATGTGGTCTAATTAACAGCATTCGCTCTTGTTCCGTGATAACTGTTAAAGACAAATGTTGTTATATGCTGACTACCAATTGATAAAAACAAACGCAACACTTCGTCTTGACGTCAATAACAAGATCAGAGAGCTTCTCTTCCAATGCGATTAATCTTCGAATTCCGCCTTTAATTTAACAAAATAGTTATAAGCCTTTTAAAATAAGTTGTTTTGCCTTCCTTTTCACGACATGGAGAAAACAGGGCAACATTTCGTCTGTAATATGCTTTTCGATTGTAGTATCACAGGCCTGGTTTGATCAGATCGAGTCTAAACCGCCAAAGTTAACAGTATGGATACTTGCTGTTCTGGGGTGGGGTGTTGATGTAAGCAGTATAATTTTTGTAGAAATGGTTTGCAAAGTGCAAATGAACATTGTGTTAAATGGGCTGAGGGTTCCAGATTTCCAAAGGCACACAATGGTGATTCATGTTTGCTGTGCTTTATGTACAATTATTGACATGATAACACTGAAGTTTAAGAGGCAACTTGACAATAGCTTTTTTGTTATTGGAAGTGAACAGGTAGGGGAAGAGGGCAAAAGAATCTTTAAAATCTGAGAATGAACTTGAGCTTTGTTTTAATCATCTTCTGCATAAATTTCTAATTGATCAGATCTATGATGGGTTTGTATCTTGCCCCATTAGTTTGAGTTGACTGGTGTTATAAATAATACAGGGTGTCCCAAGACTTATAGTTCCTCTACTTCATAAGTCTGTATTTCAGTATGATTGAGCTTGGTGAGCAAATCATTTCAACAAAAGTGGTGTCTTTCAATATAATTCACTATTTTCATACTTGTTGTGCCCCATTCTTTTGACTTGAATAATCGATTTGTGTACTTCTGCACCAAAGGAATTGCTTGAGCTCCTTCCTTGTTTTTTGTGAATATCACGAAAGATAAACCCCCTTAATGCAAAAACGTTCAGCTGCGTGAAAGCATAAGCCTGCAGTATACTTTGATTACTGGCTTATATGTTGTAGAAATTGCTAAAATACTGGAAACATCCGAATGTTGGGTGGTAGAATGATCATGGAGAAATGAAGGTTTTGAAGGCAAGAAACTAAGGGGAAGACCAAAAGTCCTGAATAAAGCAGCTAAAATAGTTGTAAAGAAGGTTAGATACAAAATAGGAGACTTGACAAGGAAGCTCAGTCTCACATTAAGGTAGCAAGTCAAATAAAAGGGTCATGAAAAGCTGTTTAGAAGGCCCCTGAGATGACAAAAAAACCTCTGCTTAGTCTGCCAATTAACGCCTAGCTCGTTTCAGATTTATAAAGAAGTACAAAAGCCTTGCTGTGGAAGGGGGGGATGATTATCTTTTTTGGATGAATGTCTTTTTCAGCGTCTAAACTAAACAAATATTGTTTGGAGGTTAAACTGGATCCTGCACACCAGGTGACAAAAAAGCTCAAAATGGATCATTTGTGGATCTACACACTGTATCCCACTTCATGCCGCAACGGTTACAGAAAAAAAAAAACAAACAAACAAAAAGGGCATGCCAGTTACTGAAATTCTGAATACATGTACTTAACCCATTCGCTCCTGGAGTTTTTGCCGAAAAACGCATTTTGAAGCTAGTCGAGTGGTTTTCTGGTCACTGTCGTGCTATAAAGAGCTAAAACTTACCACAAACCGGTTTACAGGTTGTACACGTCATGGCCTTCTGATCCAGATGCAAAATATCAGCTTGCGAAGTTCGGGCATGCGCAGAAAGCAAAATTTCGACATAGTTTTTGGGTTTAAAAGTGACACAGCAGTCTTGACTTTTACTTTTCGCTTTCTCTCCTCCCCTCTGTTTTCGCTTTTCTTGCCTCATTTTTTTTTTTCTCTTGCTGGGCATTTAGTAGGCTTCATTTTGGGGGGAATAGTTTTTAGGAAAGCTTTAAGAATGTTAGGATTAGGTGAAAGGAAAGGTAGGTGGGCAATGGAACAAGATTTTCATGGAGATTTTCAGGTCAATGTTACATGGTTTTTTGCCTCTTTCTCCAGTATCCTTGACTGAATTGTGCTCATTCTGGTATGGTTTGAAAGATCTCTTCACTCTGCACAAGGTAGCCGGCAAAGTTGTCCTTGACCGTTAAGACTGATGACGTCACAAAGAGTAGAAAGGACGTGGATCCGCACAGGCGGTTCAGGGGCGAATGGGTTAAACGTCTTCTAGAAATTTCATGTGAAAATAAAGTTTTGATCAATAGTTATAGTGCATGAAATTAGAGGAACAAACTTTTGGGACACCCTGTACATATGATATCTATATTTAAAAGAAAAAGTGAAGCCCGCTTTTTCTGGAGAATTTGTGCCCAGTGAAAAAGTGTTGTTTTTTATTCATAAGTGGACACACTCAGGATGCAAGCACTGTGCTATCTCTTATGGCTGTTGAAGTGCAGATGTGTTTGTGAAAAAAAAGAAGAAGAAACTCTGAAAATTATTTAATTCATAAATTCATTGTGAAGAGCAGTGATTTGAAGCTGAT